CGCTACTGTCAATCAAACTATCGTGGGAGGGGCCTGTCTGTGTGACGTCACACAGACAGGCATCTGAGATCGCCTCGATTTGAGAAAGGGGTAAAGATTTTAGTAGATTAACAAAAAACCACTGGGTGGATTTTTATCTTTTTAGGGTGGTTGTGTACACACACTGCCAGTTCAAACAACTTGTAAAAGTGCATGTAGCATTATAGGACCCCTTTAACTTCCATTAGTTGTGCAAAGTGGGCGGAGCCAGGGAGAAAGTCTTCAGCTGTGTGTCCAATAAAAGAGCCTGATTGTGCTCCTGTAATTCTCTGGGATATACAAATACAAGAACTTCCTTTGCCCAAATATGGTATTGTTGTTGATATGAATGAAACTAAACGTAGTACACAAGCTGAACAATCTGATAATTCACAGAAATGTTGCAGCTGCATTGTGTCGAGTTGAGTCTCTGCTTCATATGTGTTTGTTCATGTGCTGTCCAAGCCAGCATGGGACGGGGAGGAGCGTCTTTGATATGATCTCTTTATAAATAAGACTCAGTCCAGTGTACTTCACTGTAAGAGATGCTGGGAAGAGAGGAAAGTGCATTTATGATGGGGTTGTACTGAATAAAAAGAACCTGATTTGCTTTGGAAGATAAACTGGGGCGGCACTTGGCTAGAAGAGTTCAACTGCGCATTTCTCCCACACACTTGTCTTTGAAGTGAACTTCGGAGAGAACATTTTCCCATTCTCCCATTTTAGTAGTCTGTTTGAGAGTCAGGCAAAGATATATGTCATTGGGCTGCAAACACACACACACACACACACACACACACACACACTAAGAGATCAAACAGCATAGGTGTTCATAACCTGTCTCCACTACTTCTGCAGTCCCAAGGCCCTGATTAGTCCATGTAGAGGGTTTATTCCTCTTTTGTCTTTATCTGCAGAGTTAGTCAATTGATTTGTGTGTTCAGAAGATATCGGGACACATACTCCATTCTTGTCTTTCTTTGGCCTCCCAGTAACCCCCCTTATAAACGTAGATAGTCTCTCCCGTCATTTCATCTGTCCTCTGGTGGAACCACAGCGGCCTGTAACCCTCAAAGTCCTGTCCTGTAACACAAAACAACAATAAAATCACCAGGGGCCTCATTTATAAAATACTGCGTAGAAAGAATCCTAAATTTGATTTTACGATCATTTCTCAAAGTGCGTACGTGTGATTCATAGAACGAACGTACGCACAGAAAACGTGCGTACGCCTCTCTTTTAGATGTGAAATATATAAATTGCAAAGATCTTGAAATTGTGCGCAGCTGAACAGTTTCAGATCTCCGCCCTGTAAACAATGTCTAATTAATGTCCTTGACTTATAAAAGAGCACCTGACAATGTCCAAATCTTTTACAAGCGGTAAGAACGGCTTATATTTCCAAAAACCTGCAGCACTCGGGCAAACAAAAGTGCGTACGTCTGCTCAGACCCTGACGTGGCGCTAAGCTCTTTTCCACGTCAAAGACCGTTTTTATAAATATGAACGTTGCCGTGGATTTTTGCGTACGCACACTCTACGATCAAATCTGTGCGTACGCACGTTTTATAAATGAGGCCCCAGGAGAACAGTCTTAAGATCAGTCTACTGGGATTGTTCTGACTAAACTGTGGCACAAAAGTGGAATTTATATTTTCATGGTTTTCATTCACAAAAAACCTATACCAACCAAATGTCACAGAATACCAAAATGTCACAGAAGACCATATTGTGTGACCTTGGACTTCCCCTCACCTTCGTCTATGGCCTTGCTGGCCTCAGCTTCTCTCCTCCTCCTTGTGGCTCTCTGTTTTTCCTCCAGCCTTTGTTTCTCTACGTTGGCCTCGTCCCAGCGTCCCGCTTCCATCAGCTGCTGGTCTGGCCTCAGCCTACTGTCTGTCCAACACACACCCTCCTCTTCCTCATTCAGGGTCAAAGCCAGAGAGGAGAAATAGTACATGTTCTCAGCATTCTCTCTGAGAGATAGAGAGAAGAAGAGGAAAATGCACAAAAAATCAGAGAATCTAACATTATAATTTGTTGAGATTAAGTTGGTAAGTAGGAAGTGAAGAAGGTAGTTAGTTCTGCAGGTAGGCAGTTTTGGTCTGTCAGTAGATATGTTGTTTAGACTGTAAGTAGTTTGGCAGGTATGTAGTTAAATATATACCAACATCCTCGCAAACTAACTACCCTCCCCTAGCAACACCATACCATTTTGGATGCATTTAGATCCAAAATGCTTGGCTTGGTCTCATGAGACCAGAGTATGGATTCCCAGAAGTCTATGTTTTGTAAATATGGGCCTTGGAAAAGGCTAAATGAGTTTATTGTGCTTTGGCTACAGTAGGAAGTTACATTTCACTTCTCTACATGGCATCTTACTTAGTGAGATGAAAGAGTCACTCTTTTCATAGCTTTTGCCAGCTCTGAGACCACTTAAAGGGGATGTACTCATTTATGCTGAATACTGTAGTTCTTCAGATAGTCTGGCAGGTAAGTCTAAGGTAATGCCTTAGTTCAGTAGTTGGTTTGGTAGGTAAGTAGGTAGTCAGGAAGGTAATTCTGCAAGTAGGTAGTTTAGTCTGTAGGCGGTTTGACAGGCTAAGTAGTTAAGTAGCTACCAATGTAACTGCAAAATTAACTACCTACCTACTGAACAAACTACCTTTAGACTTAGTTTGATATGTATTTAGTCTGGTTTGTAGGCAGGTAACTCTGCCTATAGGGAGTTAGTCTGGTAGGAAGATTCAGTCGTTTTGGTCATTCGTTTAGTTGATACGTAGGGTCAGTCAGTCTGTAGGTAATGTGGCATGCGGTTTGGTTGGTCAGTAGGCAGGTGATAAGTTAATTTGATTGGTAGGTAGTGTGGTAGTTATGTCAGTAGTTCACTTAGTATATGGAAGTAGGCCTGTACTTTATTGATTTTTATGTGGGAAATTGAGTGGCATTAAAAGTTAGATATTAATACCAGACATCAATGGTGTGTGTCTTACGGTAGAGGGTATTTCTTCCACAGCAGTTTGGGTGTGAGCGTCTGATAGACAGTCTTCTGTTTGCCCTCAGAGCTGCTGCTTCCTCTGCTACTCTGCACAATCTTGGCACTCTCCATCTTGTCGTCCCATGTACCTGACAGGATGTAGTGGGCCTGGCCGTCACTGTCCTTCACCACCCCTGTGACCTTACAGTGGAAGAACAAGGAGAACAAGGGTAACAAGCTCTGGGGTTGAACTACAGAAGCATGAAGAAACAGAAAGAGGGCAGAGGAGGATAGAAAGATGGACAAACATTCATAAAGGGGTCACATCTGCTGTCAGTATAACTCACACATGAATCACAGTGGGAAGGACAGGAAAAAGGACAGGGACAATTTAAGTCTAAAACATACCTTTCGTGGGACTTCTCTTGAAAAGTAGCTGTATGGAGAGAACTTGAGCTGACAGGTCTCTTTGGTCCTGTGGTTGACTATATCAATATCTCCTGACTGAAACAAAGAAAATATGAGATGAAAAGAGAGAACTACCTACTATTAAATCAGTGGTTCTCAAAATCTGCGGGGTCACAGAGGTATGATGTGTTTTTCTTCAATAAAGTCGTATTTGATATTGAACAGAAAAAATGTCTTAAGCCAAAAGAGTGATTTTTTTCAGGTAAAACTTAACTACTGCTAATACAGTTGACTGCATTGTTCAACTGCCAAACTGTTTTTTCTCATTTTTAGTCTTTATTTTTTCAGAAGAGGACATCAAAATTGAGTAAAACTAGGTCCTACAAACAATATATTCTACAAGCATGGACCTACAAGCAATATATTCCCCTTGACATTTCTAGGCTTTGAATATTTGACAAAATACTGGTAATCATAGAAATGTAATAATGTCAGAAGTTCAACCTGATCAATCCACAGTTTGCCCACAATGATGTTGTGCACGGTGGAGGTGACTTTACGCCACACATAGTGGTTTCCACTCGCATGAAACTGTAGGTGGATTGCACCTGGTCAGACAGACAGAAAGACATCTTTCTAATATGGCATACAAATAATGTTAAGTCAAGAGAGAAACAGAATGAATCCTCTGTGTGACAATAAAATAAATCAGCATAAACAATGTTTATGGATTTTGTGCTACTTCATGAAAAAACCTTTTGTATATATATGTGTACATTTGTTTGTATGAAGAACAGTGAAATAGTGAGACAGTCAAGAGAGGAGAGGAGACTCACCCAGAGGCATGATGGAGAGGTATTTGCCACGGAACTTGCTAGCGATGGTAATTTCCTGCCACAGGGTCCAGCCTCGCTGTGACATCACATGATGAGCAGCTGCCGGTGGATGATGACTGACCTGAGAGATATAGGCCGAGTGCTGAATATAAAATACACCACTAGGGGGTGCTGTCTCTTTATTCATTCAGACGTGTGGATTTTCTATGTGTGATTCTGGTATTCACAGTCACCTTCAACCATCATTACCCTCCAACCACTCAACCTTGTATGAGAAGCATTTACAGTGATGGTTGAAGGTTACTGAAAATCAGTGATGTGACACTGTGTTATAATATATTACTTAACTTCTCATTTCTTTCCTTGTTTCTAAATTCCTAATTTATATGCTGCTTTCAATGCTAACTGAACTCAGCAGCAAAACGGTTTCTTGAGCACCAAATCAGCATATTAGAATGATTTCTGAAGGATCATGTGACATTGAAGACTGGAGTACATTCAGCTTTGCCATCACAGGAATTTAAAAAATACAAATAAAAATACTGTTAAATTTTTTTTTTACTGTTTTTACAGAATTTTTGATAAAATAAACACAGTTGAGTATAAGAGACTTCTTTCAAAAACATTAAAAAAATCTTATAGAGTGTCCTGTGCTAGCTGAACAACTGCTACTGAGGTGAATGTGAACGCTAATGGATAGCTTTCCTCATATATTACAGACCTTTTGACTCTTAACACCGACCTGTTCACAGAGGGAACGGTAGCCGAATTCTTCCAGGCGGTCCAGTTCATAGGTCTCTCCCAGGAGGGGGTTGAAGGGCTTGGCTGTCCGGTGCACTGTGGTGGAGTATGAGGAGACGGAAAAGGCTGCGACCAAACACATCTGCTCCAGAGAGTTCTCACAACGCGCCGCCTTATCCAGCAGCTCGTGGTACTCCAAATCTTCCGTCAAGCGCTGCAGCATGGACAGGGGCTCGTTGAAGTTCACCTGGACACACAGAGAGAGGAAGAGACCTTGGCTGTGTCCCAATTCTTCTACTACATATTGATGAGTATGTGGAGATACTACAATTGTCTTGTGACCACAGACCCATTTTACAAGTTTGTTTTGGAATGAAAAGTTTAGCATCTGGATAAATTTATTACATTAAAATACATTCTGTAGTAACTTTACTAATAGATTGCTATTTTTAAAGCTGGAACAGATTTAGCTTCGTATTCTTTGCCTTTTTTTCCAAACTTAAGTTAAACGAGAACTGTCACCAACTTCAATAGAGCAAGGGGCTGTGAACAATATTAGCTAAAAAAAAAAAAAACATAGTTTGCGGTCGGTAAGATATTTTAATATGTCTGTATGCAGCATTGAAGCTGCAACAAGTCTCTCATACTCACCAAGACTGCATTTATTTGATCAGTAAAACTGTAATATTGTGAAATAGTGGTGCTGTTAAATATTTTTGTAAGAACCATGATACATTTGTTCAAAAGACCAGCATTTATTTAAAATAATAATCTTTGTAAAATTCAAAATGTCTTTACTGTCATTTTTCATCAATTTATTGCACCCTTGCTGAATAAAAAATATTATTTTTTAAAAATTCTCACAGACCCCAAACTTTTGAACCGTAGTGTATATGCAAATAATATATAATCTGGCCACTTTTTGCTTACTGTTCTCAAAGAACAGCAATGCACTGATTCTAATCTTGCATTTAGGACCATTTTCTCAATATTTGATATCACTTACAGGCATTGGGATCTTAGAGAGCTCTTTGCCAATGCAATTCTTCATGATGCTCCACAGATTGAGCGAATAGTTGGGCTTCTCTGGGATCTGGGTCCGCCTCTTTCTGTGAGGCTGCAGCTCTTTGCCTGAAAAATCATTACTGCTCACAGAACACTAAAAAAGACAGAGACGAGAGTGTTTGTATTAAAAAAACATCTGAAATGTATGAAATGTGTTTGTGCTGAAAGACATTATTTGAAGGGCCTGAGTGCCCTTGAGGAACGTAACACGTAAACATTGACAGCTGACTGATGCTCCATCTGTCTCAGAAAGTGAGTCACCAAGAGAAAGATGAAACGAGGGTAGCAGATATCAGTTAATTAAGAGTTGGTTAATTGAGATAAACAACAGCTGTGAGAGTCTGTGATGAACAGACTACCCGAGGAAACATTCACAGTCACACTGAGTCTACTGGATCCTTATGCCACATGAAATACAGTGGGGTCCAAAAGTCTGGCCACTAATGAAAATGCTTCTATTTCACATTAGTTCAATAAAAAAAAAAAAAATGTCATTACAAATATGAAGCGAATTCCAGGCCCTTGTAACAACTGAATTTTAGTATTTCACAATGCCTTTTAAATTAGATTCTGAATCTGAGATTTTCATTGTTGTCTTTTGGATCCTAGTGTATATAACCTTTGTTTTCAGCTCTTGTTTCATGTCACACTCACATTGTCTTCCTGGTTCCAGTCACTGGGCTGTCCTCCGCTAGCACCACTGAGATTACACTGAGAACGCCTGCACAGACAAGAAAGAGAGAGAGAGAGACAGTAAGAGGATGAGATCCTACATAATTTAGGTACCATTTTCTTGCATTTGGCTTCTCTTATTAAATAAATAAATGGCAAGCGTTATCCTCCACTTATTCACAATGGTAATGAATGAATAGTGAATGCTTGAATATATCCACACAAAAACATACAATACATTTCAAAGAAAAGCATAGTCATTTTTAGGGCTATTCAATCTTAAATAATTATGTAATAGTTATAAAATAATTATTTCAGACATAATTATTCATAACTGCACATTTTACCAAAATAGTGTTAAAACATTGGTAATTCTCACCTCATCGTCATAATTTTGATTGGAATACATCTCATTTGGATGGGTGGTCAACATTCGGTTGAGTTCAAATATATTTAAATGCAACCAAAGCTCAAATTTGACCCAAAAATTATGCATATTCATATGGTCAAAAACTCCAGGAAGCTCCCATACTACTTTCCATTGGAACTTTCAGTCTGTTGTTCATCAAAGGTAGTGGAAAGTGACTTAAGAAATGTTTTGAATTAGACAAATTTTTAATAAAATGACTGCATTGAATTTTTTAACAACTATTTTTTTAACTCTCGTCAAAAAATGAAAATTCTGTCATAATGCGTTTACCCTAATGTTGTTGAAAAGCCTGTGACTTTCATTTTTGGGTTAAATGGGGATGAAGTTGACCTGTGTTGAGAGGGGTCCGTGGCAGTCACTGTTATAAAAGCAGGTGAGTCTTCCATGGCATCAAAATACTCTGTATCCTCATCTTCATCACTCGCTTCCTCTTTCCTGGGCCTTTCACTCACTCCTGTACACAAATACAGGCACAACAGTACCATTACATCAGTCATGGTGGTTTACCATGGTATCAACACGTCATGTCTCATAACTGAGCTCATTCAGTTCTGTAGTATTCATTTATGAATGATCAGGATGCTATAGGGGTGGTGGGGCTCCAGTGTCTCACCCTTGTCGGTGGTGGGTGTATTGGGCGTGTTGACAGCGTGCGCGGGGGCCTCTCTCCAGGCTCGTTCCAGGCTGTTGTGCTGCTTAGCTAGCTGCTCGATGGTCTCCTCTAGGTGGGTGCGCTGCTCTCGCTCATGCTGAAGTACTCGCTGCCATCTGCGGCTGTGGCTCTCTGCCAGGTCCAAGAAATCTCGGCACGCCTGCGCAGCAAGATACAAAACAGGGACTAAACATCGACACAAACACAGAAGCTTCAGGGGGGCTTGATTCTGCTCCTAAAGGTCAATCTCTGTGCAGAGTTTTGATTCAACCACATAGCTGAAACAGTAGAGCATGGTGTTAGGTCATGGGTTTGATTCCCTTGGAGTGCATGGACTGATATCATATACCTTGAATGCAATATAAGTCGTATTGGATAAAAGTGCCAAATGCTTAAATGCAAATGTTTTAAACCCTAATCAGACAAATCTGATCGAGATGATCCTTTAACCCTTAAACCCCTAAAGCATTATTGGGGCACATGACTCGCCTGTACTCCTCTTTGTTTTTCAAAGCTATTGTAGCAGTCAGCATCAAGGGCCATAGGCCTATATCATTATAAACAGGAGAACTTGAAGTTTCAGATTAGCTCATTTAAAGACTCAGTTTAACATTTGTTTTCTCTAGGAATGGATGAATTTGCTGGAATTTTAAGAAAATGCAAGCAACTATTTATTTATTTTATAAGTTTGGATTTTCTTTTTCTTCAGAAAGTTATACTTGGATGTTAAACATTTCCAAATGAAATTTGGTCTATATCTAACATTCCCTAAGCAAGTTATTGCCATTTATCACAATATTATTCTAGCTGTTTTTTAGTGAAAAACATATCTATTTTATTTACTGATAATATAGATATGTCCAAAAAAAGAGTATACTGAGTGCAACTGAACTAATAGTGCAAATGATCTTCACAAACTATATAAGAATTATTCACATAATATTACACCCAAAAGGATCGATCCCTTGGCTCCTCCTCACTGAAACACGTATCTGAGTCGGAATCGATTCTACCGGGATATCGCCTAAATTCCAATGCTTTATCCGATATGTAGCGTTGTTTCATCCTTGTTTACGGTTTGTGTTATGCCAACGTGCTCTGTCATGTGTTCTGCTGTGCTGTGTCAGAGTGCTTCTCATGAAAATCTGTTATTTTGTGTTTGTTTCCATGCATGCAAATACGCATAACTCACACCTACTTTCACTTTGCATTTGAAGATAAAAAGGAGAGGAAAAAAAACTTTCACTTTGCGTTTGTTGAAATTTCCAAAGAAGCCCAAAAGCTATGTTTATTGGTTGGGTAGATGAGAGTTTGAACCAATCTGGGCACGGGGGTGGGACTAAGCATCATGTTCCTGTTTGCCTCAGAGGAACAAACCGCATGGGTTTCTTTGAGGAATCAGTGCTGATCAAAACTTGATGACGTAACCACGTTCACTACAGAGCCTCTGAATGTGAATCCTCTTCATGAGACATTTTTTAAAGCATACTAAGTAAATTAGTGGTTCAAAAGTTATTAAACAATTAAGAACAATATTTATTTTTAGCCGCAGTGATTTACTGAAACACATTTTCAAATACAACTGAACCAAATAATCCTTTTAAATCTTAGATTTTTTAAATTAAAATATTTTAAATGTTAGAAAAAATGTGATCTAAAACAAGATTTACAACAAAAAATGACATACATATATATTTATAATTTCTTGTTGTAAAACTTTGTTTTAATGACGTTTCTACAGTACATATATACGTATATACACTCATAAACGCACACACACAATTTTTATATACTGATAATTATTTTATTGTACTTAAATATTTTAAAGGATTATGTGATTCATGATGTGTGGGATTTATACCTAAACACAGTATATATTAGTCATTTTAAAAATATTTTAATTTAATATGCTGTATATAGGGGTAAATACCGTATTTTTAATGTGAAAATATATTACCATAAGCTATAAATATATTTAAAAATACTATCGATTTCAGAGGTGTACAGCAAATGCTGCTTCCACATCCTCATCCTCTCTCTGTTTTCCCTCACTATCTCCATCACGATAATCCCGGTTCCCAATTCTCTAGGGATCTTATCTGTCCTCCTGCCGTAGGTGCCATGCACAGATTCACCTGTTTCCTCATTACTGCTCTGGTCTCCCTCATAAAAATGGTCCCCACAGGAAGAGATCATGGAAATACCTTCCTCTCTCTGTCTTCCTCTTTCTCTACCTTTCTTTTAGTTTTGTCTTTTGTTTATTGTTCTCATCGAAATGTCTGTGAAATGCTTCACAACATCTAAGAAATTATATGTGACATGTCTATGACAGAAATGTTGAAAAGATCAGATGAAATTGATCATGGGTCGTAGCTCTAGTGGTAAACTCAAAGCAGAAGTGAAAGTGTAAATCTGATGGACAGTGCACGTTCAGAAACACGCAAACATACAGACTGTCTTTTCCTCATTACTGCTCTGGTCTCCCTCATAAAAATGGTCCCCACAGGAAGAGATCATGGAAATACCTTCCTCTCTCTGTCTTCCTCTTTCTCTACCTTTCTTTTAGTTTTGTCTTTTGTTCTCATCGAAATGTCTGTGAAATGCTTCACAACATCTAAGAAATTATATGTGACATGTCTATGACAGAAATGTTGAAAAGATCAGATGCAATTGATCATGGGTCGTAGCTCTAGTGGTAAACTAAAAGCAGAAGTGAAAGTGTAAATCTGATGGACAGTGCACGTTCAGAAACACGCAAACATACAGACTGCCTATAAGCTGAGTCATGCTTTTTTTAGTTGAGTCTCGGACTAGCACTATTGAGTAATACAAGCATCTAAGAGAGGTTACTCTTGGTAAATAACACAGACACAAAACTGTCACATGATTGCACCCACAGGAAAAAGTTATTGCTCAGAGGTTGCTCTTTCAAACCTCGGCAGACTTATTTGAATTCACAGTTATGGTTTGGATGTAAAAAAAATTTCAGCAGAACTAAATGTCTCCATTTGCTCTGTATTAAATCTTGTTATCGAGGAGAAATAAGGGAGATTTAAAAAAAGGTTTTTCCTTTCTATAGTCAAGTAACTTTTATTTATATAGAGCTTTATACAATACAGATCACTTTGAAGCAGCTTTACAGTAATAATCAGTAGAAACAGGCTCAATGCTGCAAAATTATTCAATTAGGAACAAATAAATTCAGTTCTAATTCAGAAGACAATACAGTGTCATTATTCATCTCAATTCAATAATTCCGTGTTCTCATTCAATAGTTTTATATAAGAACTGAAACATGAAAACCTAGTAATTTTTTCTCCTACATATAGTGAAATGTATGACAAAAAGCATGTTTCTTTCTCATTATTAAGAATAATAACCCACACCACACATAGGTTTCACTAAAAATAACCACTGTAATATAACTCTTTGAGTTACCTGTGAAAGCATCTCTCTCATCAGAGCTCATCAATCACGTTAATAACTGAGACTACAGTACAGCCACAAAATCATTAAGGCAGCTTGCAGTCACAACCAATCATGTCTTTAACAGTGTCTCTGCCACTGGGTGAAACTCAGTGAAATCACTTGACTGTACTCTCTTCTTCATCTCTCTCTTAATCAATGACTCTTTGTCCATCTCCCTTGTCTGCTGTGGAGGCACAATGACACGACTAATCTGACTGACCCCAGTCTGCTGGATTTATCAGGAACCACACACTCAAAGATAACTGAGCTAAATTTTTTACAAAATAGGCATCAGTGTCCAAAATTCACACCTGCCAATGGCAGATAAATCAAGTTATAAGTTCCTGAAGTAATGCCAAAGTCATGGGTCCAATTTCCAGGAAATGAAAATACATATAGCTTGAATGCAGTTGCTTTGGATAAAAGAGTTTGCCAAATCTATTTTTTTTTAAATTGCACGGATAAAATAGTACATACTAAAAATATATATATATATTTTAAAGACAAATATTTTGACTAATATTTTAACTAAAAAAAGTATACCATTGCAGATCACAGTTTCACTCGCAGCATCATATGTACATGAGGCAGTCTCCATGTCCATGCACTTCATAAAAACACAAACATGTTGTGATTTTAGATTCTTATATTTTCATTTGGTGGCATTAATGCATGAATTTATGGGAAAACAAACAAACAAAAAATATTTAGGCCTCAGAGAAAAATGTCTGCTAGTCATAGTTTATTCAATAGACATTTGTTTGTATATCTTCATCTATAGAACTAAATGTCTCCATTTGCTCTGTATTAAATCTTGTTATCGAGGAGAAATAAGGGAGATTTAAAAAAAGGTTTTTCCTTTCTATAGTCAAGTAACTTTTATTTATATAGAGCTTTATACAATACAGATCACTTTGAAGCAGCTTTACAGTAATAATCAGTAGAAACAGGCTCAGTGCTGCAAAATTATTCAGTTAGGAACAAATAAATTCAGTTCTAATTCAGAAGACAATACAGTGTCATTATTCATCTCAATTCAATAATTCCGTGTTCTCATTCAATAGTTTTATATAAGAACTGAAACATGAAAACCTAGTAATTTTTTCTCCTACATATAGTGAAATGTATGACAAAAAGCATGTTTCTTTCTCATTATTAAGAATAATAACCCACACCACACATAGGTTTCACTAAAAATAACCACTGTAATATAACTCTTTGAGTTACCTGTGAAAGCATCTCTCTCATCAGAGCTCATCAATCACGTTAATAACTGAGACTACAGTACAGCCACAAAATCATTAAGGCAGCTTGCAGTCACAACCAATCATGTCTTTAACAGTGTCTCTGCCACTGGGTGAAACTCAGTGAAATCACTTGACTGTACTCTCTTCTTCATCTCTCTCTTAATCAATGACTCTTTGTCCATCTCCCTTGTCTCCTGTGGAGGCACAATGACACGACTAATCTGACTGACCCCAGTCTGCTGGATTTATCAGGAACCACACACTCAAAGATAACTGAGCTAAATTTTTTACAAAATAGGCATCAGTGTCCAAAATTCACACCTGCCAATGGCAGATAAATCAAGTTATAAGTTCCTGAAGTAATGCCAAAGTCATGGGTCCAATTTCCAGGAAATGAAAATACATATAGCTTGAATGCAGTTGCTTTGGATAAAAGAGTTTGCCA